TTGGTGGGATTGAACGGCCAACTTTTCAGTTAACAGCTGAGATTTAACCATTATGCCACCGGGGTTCCTTTATCAAGTGTAGTTGGTGAACATCAGGGCAATAACCTTCTGTTTATGTACTAGGGAATACTCTGGAAGGATGGCCAACAGAAGCACAGTTTTCACCCCACATATATGGAGGACTCCCATATTGAATGATAATCTATTTTACTGGGGAAAGTGTTTAAAAAAGGATGATTTTACCCTATCCAGAAAATGTGACAATGAAAACTGATCATTCTCTGGACAATTCTATATATCGCCTTCTTCTTCTCAGTGGTGGCCACTTCAGCAAAGAAAGAATGTCCTTTATTCTTTTGCCCACCTTTAAGTGGCTACCCTTTGTGTGCAATAGCCTGGTTTTAGGCAAAAATCTTAGGGTTTTTTTTGAACTTAAAAAGCACAAAAACCATGACTCTCCATATATAGATAACCTTAATGTGGTCATGCCATTCGAAGAAACAGACTATCTCCACTTGAAAAGTGACTTGCATAAAATGTTAGATGATAAAACTCAGTCTAACTGGCTGACTATAATCTTGTTCTTAACAGCCTACAAATCACCTTTACAATATCTTCTGGTTTTTAATGTTAGAAAATTACAGTTGAAAAACGAGTATGGAACACGATGCAACTTACCGTTTTCCTTCTTAATTCCTAGATATCCAAGTCTTTGTAGGGAAGTACCCAAAACGACGCATAAGGTTTTAAGTAGCTGCTTCTCATTCCCATGCCAATGGGAGCGTGCATCTGGGAGGGTGGTGCAGGGCCCTGCAGGGCTTCGTTCTGTGGGCATACGGGCGCTATGGGTCGGCACAGACTCAGAGGCACCTACCACCACCACGAAACACTAAAACCAAACACCTTGCCACCCAGTCGACTCAGGCTCATAATGACCCTGAAGGACAGTGGCCAACCGGGAGCCTTCCTTTTTCCCTTTGTATTGGGATTTGCATCAACACTTTCAGAGCTCCCTAGCTTTCCACACAGAATTCAACATTTTGTTTTATGACAGCGATTGCAGTCGCCCCAATGCGATGTCACCCACCCTCCTTGTGCTCTGTTTCCTTCTCCCTTGTCATATTTTTTCTATGCCTTTCTGCTTTCTGAGTCTGTCTCTGGACAAATGCTGCCCTTTTGGTGCCCTAGGGTGGTGTTCTGAACAGTGTGCACCTTGGTGTCCACCCTTACCTGATAGGATTATCTACGGTTTGTGTATGGATCCTCCTAGGGGTGCTGTGGGCTCTGAACTGAGCTGCTGACCACAGATCTGCAGTTGAGCCCACCAGCCTCTGTCTTCTTCCACAAAGATGGAAAGTCTGAGCAATCCAAAGGGTGGCTCTACCCTGCACTCTAGGGCTGCTATGAGTCAGACTTGACACAATAACAGTGAGGGTTTTTTGTGGTTGTTGTGTATCTCAAAGTTGAGCCACGGGAGCAATTTAGGCCTCAAGGGTGTAATCTTAAAAGAAGCGCACTGCCACCGCTTTCCCTCGGAGAAGCTGCTGGGTTCAAACCACCGACCTTCAGTTACAGCCAAGCACTTAACCCCACTGCACCAGTGTGGCTTCTTGGTGTGGAGGTACTAAATCGCATTTCACCATTCAAAAGCAAACCAATGATCAGGATTTTATTTTCGCAGGGATAAAATATTGGCTTCACACACAAGATGATATGGCAAGTGCTACATTTACAAAGGCACTTTCATTTAAAGCTTCATCACACTAATTACATCCATCCAGGGTATAAAATACATTTTGCTAGTAAAGAGGAAAGGACTTCAATTAGGTATCAATCCTTAGTCAGCACGTCTGGGGTTCAAGCTTATTAATGAAGTGGATGTCTGAAGAAAGTGTCCTCGAGAATGCGGCCCTGGTGAGAAATGACCATCAACTGGTAGTCACGGTTTGACAAGGTTGCCCTCCATACAGCTTGAAACAATGCTTCTCCTCAGTATTCATAAGTGACCGTACAGGACAGGGAAAACCGCCCCGCGGTTTCTGAGATGGGGACTCTGAACGGGAGGAGTCAGAAATGACTCGATGGCACTGAGATTGGTTTGGGCTTTCGTCGTCGTCTTTTTGATTGCATATTATGTACTCCGAAAGAAGAAACATGCTTATGCTTCTGGATGGACTCAATCTGGATCTGCCAAGGATGTTGAAAGGAAACGTGTGGGGCATATCATACTGAGCTTAGAGCACTAGAGTAGCTGTAAAAACTGTAAGAGCCCTGTTATATGATTACCACAGTGAAAATTCTCTAGGAAGTTAAAAACATAACCCAGGCCTTTGATATCAGTTGACATATATTGATCAATATACTGTTTGGGTATTGTTATTATTCAATGGGTGGTTACATATCATCATTTATTAAAGTGGAATATATATATATATATGGCCATATTAAATAAGTACTTAGTTTCTACACAGACAGGGATGCATTAGATGTCTGGAAAAAAGATTTCACATTCTTCCCATATGATTTGTATTTTATTTTACATTTGAATATGAGTATGTTTATATATTCAGAATTGAGTCTTTTAAATGGATCTATAAACCCCGATGGCTTAGTGGGTTGCATGCTAGGCAGCAGGCTGCAAAGCCAGCATTTTGAAATCACTAGCTACTCTGTGGGAGAAAGAGGAGGCTTTAAAGATTGATGTACAACCTTGGAAACCGTATACAGATTTTCCATGAGTGGGAAGCAATGACAGTGGGTTATACGTGTGTGCACCACTCACTAACTGCCACCGAGTCACTTCTGCTCCACGGTGACCCTCACAGGACAGAGTAGAAACGCCTTGTAGGGTTTCTGAGATTGCAACTCTTTACAGGAGTAGAAAGCCTGGATATATATTTTTTCTCTCACGATTTTACAAGAAGCCTCATATTTTTCATGGGCTCAAATAATTTATTTTAATATAAAAACTAAGTTCTTCTATGGATAACATTTTCCTGTAAGTTTTACCCATTAATCCTATAACTTTTCTCCTCCTTATAGAACGATCCTAAAGTAATTCATACCTCACTTGCACAAGCCTTCTTTTAAAAACACGTCTACATCTTCTTGATCCCTGGACAGCACTGAAGGCTACATGGTGAGCTGCTCACCCCAAGGTGGGCAATCCAAACCCATTAGGCCCTCGAAGGAAGAAAGATGTACCTCTCTGCTCCCATGAAGGTTTACAATCTTGAAAGCCATATAGAGGGTCACTCTGATTGAGAATCAATTGACGACAGTGGATTTGGTTTAGTTCTAAAATAATTATTTCTAGATGACGTAACTATTTGAAAATCCTGTGCTAGCTAAATTCTAATCTTCTGGGATAGTTCTCTTCCAAGCCTGTGGTATTCGCTCAAGCCCAGTACCTACTTAATGCCCACGGTCATTAAAAGGTAGCATGCACTTAATCTTATGGATGTTTACAAGAAGGATTCAGTATGAAAAATTGTACATATCTTTTAATGTTCTTTTTGTGGTCTAACACACAGAGATGTATAGGCGCTTTATCACTTTATATCGAAAGCCAAAAATACTCAAACTCAAAACCACTTCCATCAAGTTGATGGTGACTGAGTCTCAGAAACTCACAGGGGCAGTTCCACCCTGTCCTGTCGGGTCACAAAAGTACTAAGTGAGCTCCTGTGGAAAGATCAAAGGAGCAAAAGAAAATAAAACCCAAATCGAAGAGTGTTTAGTTCCCAATCTTAAAAACAAGTCTAACTGACGGGAACTGTTTTTCACATTTTTGACTGTTGATTTCCCCTCCCGATGCTTCGTCGCGCTCCTTCATGTTAGCATCATCCCTTCTGTTTTCTGATGTTTAAAGAGAAGTGTCTCTCTTTTTTGATGGGTCCTTCCATTTTGTGTTGCTTTCTATCTACAGATCTTTTCAAAATTCTTGGAATTTACCAACTTGTCCTGTTTTCTGCTTTCTTATGACTCAGTCAGCTGTAGGCTTGGGTTGAGTGAGGGCGCTTCAACAAGTCTGTGGAAAACACCCTTGACCTGTCCATGCCTTTGCCCACACGCTTTGGAAGGCTTCTCTAGGTAGCAGGCAGGGAGACTGGGTTCG